TACTATTTTATTTTATCTGTTGAAATAAAATGTATAAACATATAATAAATAAACAATATTTAATTAGTTGAGATTCCGAGACCTGGAAATGCAAATTCAAAGGGCCCAGCGGACCATGACGACGAAGAGGAAACATTTTTTATTTATAAATGTAAAAAATGCTCTTTTGTCTCGTCAGATGAACTCGATTATCATCTTCACTCAGTAGACGACCATGGACGCAACTACGATTACAACTAGCTTGTAATGATAATTATGCCTGACATGTTTCTAATCATGTAAATGAGTTATATGAGGCATTCTCTAACATAAAAGCCACCCTAAAAAAATTTCTTTTTGGAAATGAATTAGGTTAAAGTATACATAAAAACAAGTATGTATAGTAGGTTTTTAGGTCTGTGTAATGCGTGGTTGCTATGTTATCAGGGGCTCAATTTTTTTCAGTATAATTTTCAAATGGCAATATCTTTTACCCATATCAATAGGTTTTAAAGTTGTATAAGTGTTTTTAGTAGAGAATTTTCCGAACTTTTAAATGAAATTACTAGTTATTTAAAAAAATGTAGTTTCATAAAAAAAATAAAATTTTTTTTTAATCTCCCTCCCTCTTTCCCCCCTTTAAATTTTTTTAAAAATACCCAAAAATGTTCCTTATTTTATAAGCTTTTTATTCCTCAAAAACCATTTTAGGACATTGAAATGCGTACAAGCTACCAGATGATTTTGTAATTTGGTGCAACTCATCAATTTTGTCCTTATTATTATAATTTTTACCATAGTGTTGTGCAGTGACTGTCAATTAGGAATTTTTTAGTAAAATATATTGTTTGGAACATGGGAAGTAGGTGTTTCACATTACACTATTAAAAATTCATTATTTAAAAAAAAATCTAGACTTGAAATCTGTGTTTAATTACTTTAAAAAATACTGAATCACTATATGTATTAATTCGGGTGGTTCTTATTTTTGAAAAATTTGGAATTTTTTATGTCACCGGCCGGAATTTGAATTAAAATGCAAAAAAATAAGCTACCCACAAGAACAGTCCATTTGATAAATATTAACCCGTGCCGACGAAGGGTTAAAGTTTAAATGGGGTTTAACATGGGTTTGGTGCACTTCTGCAAACTTTGTATTATAACTTTTTTATTTCTTAAAAATTTGACTTGGGTCTATGTATTCCCACAGTTTTTCATACGCTGAACACGAATATGATGTCAAAAATATCTTTTGACAGCTACCGGTTGTCAAAAAGCTGTCAAATTTTGAAAATGAGAGTTTTAACGACTTTTACAATAACTTCTAAGAATAAAACGGTTTCTTGTGAAAATTTCAGTTTATATCTAGCAATTTAATACACTTTGACGGTTGATAGCTGTCAACTGCCAAAATATATTAAATACCTATATCAAATGGATTGTTCTTGTGGGTAGCTCATTTTTTTCACATTTTAATTCAAATTACGGCCGGCGACCTAAGAAATTCCAACTTTTCCAAAATAAGAACCACCCTAATACAGTAGAACCTCGATAAGTCGAACCTCGATAAGTCGAAAACCTCTGTAAGTCGAAGAAAATGTCCATTCCCTTCCCTAGAAGCCCAAAAACCTCTGTAACTCGAACTTTTCAACCTCTATAACTCGAAGTAATTTTCATTTCCCTTCAACGACTTTTCCATGTTTTTTAACCTCTATAACTCGAAGTTCAGTTTTGCAACCTCTATAACTCGAAGTTAGTACATATGGCCCTTTTAAACCTCTGTAACTCTAAGGTTTTGTTTTTCGGAACCTCTATATTTAGAAGCTAATACAATACAATTGTTATCAAACAGTGTTCGGAATCTTTAAGGCAAACAAAAATTACAGATTTCTTTTAATGTTCAATAAATATACAATATATGAAACCTCTATAAGTCGAAACCTCTTTAACTCGAAGTTTTCACCGTTTCCCTTCAACTTCAACTTATCGAGGTTCTACTGTATCTATTTTTCTTATTCATAACACTTCATGTGATTAGAATATCACTGCTTTTATAGAATTTCGTTAATATCCGTTGATTTTTACAAAGTAAATAAATATATTTACTTTACTATTAGTTGTAATATATATATTACAACTAATATAACAACTGATATTAACGAAATTCTATAAAAGCAGTGATATTCTAATCACATGAAGTGTTATGAATAAGTAAAATACATCTTTGGCTTGGTGGAAAACTGTACTTTTTCAAGAATTCGTTATAAACAATACCATTTCAAAGTTTATTATAAAACATACCATTTCGATGAAGATCTAGAAAAGCGTTGCATTAAAGAATTTATAATGATTCACAAGCAATTAATTTAAATTATTAGAAATTTTGAATTAATACATTGAAAAGATGAACAAGAGAATATTTAAAATACCGCTTTTTAAAAATGCATAACCTTATTTTATGTCTAGCAGCAGTGTTGACAAACTTGGAAAAAAGAAAAAAACTTTTTTCTTGAATTGGTATGTTTTAAAAACATTTACCGAAATGGTACAGTTTTCCACCAAGCCGACGACATATGGTGATTCAGTATTTTTTGAAGTAATTAAACACAGATTAGAAGACTAGAATTTTTTTTAAATAATGAAATTTTAATAGTGCAATGTAAAACACCTACTTCCCACGTTCCAAACAATATATTTTACTAAAAAATTCCTAATTGACAGTCACTGCACAACACTATGGTAAAAATTATAATAATAAGGGCAAAATTGATAAGTTGCACCAGGTTACAAAATCATCTGTAGCTTGTACGCATTTCAATGTCCCAAAATGGCTTTTGAGGGGTAAAAAGCATATAAAATAAGGAACATTTTTGGGTATTTTAAAAAAAATCTGAAGGGGGGAAAGAGGGAGGGAAATTGAAAAAAAAATTTTTTTTAATTTTTTTTGATGAAACTACATTTTTTTGAATAATTAGTAATTTCATTCAAAAGTTTAGAAAATTCTCTACTAAAACACTTTTACAACTTTAAAATCCATTGATATGGGTAAAAGATATGGCCATTTGAAAATTATACTGAAAAAAATTGAGCCCCTGATTACATGGCAACGACGCATTACACAGACCTAAAAACCTACTATACATACTTGTTTTTATGTATACTTTAAAATACTTCATTTCCAAAAAGAAATTTTTTAAGGGTGGCTTTTATGTTAGAGAATGCCTCATATATATATTTGTCTTTTAGATATTTTTAAGAATAAAAAAAATTATTTTTAATAAAATATATAATGAAATAAAAAGAGTTGTTAATATCTATAAATGAAATAATTCAACTACAGATATTTCCCAACAAAAATTTTTTCGTTGACCTCTATACATAACAGGCAAAACTAACCTTTCGTGATTTTTCAGCAAACTAATAATCACAATTTTTAAAAACTAATAGTTGAAAATTGCTTTTAATTTTATTTTTTTTAGTCAATCTATTTATCCATATGAATAATTATTGTATTCTAGACGCCTGCTCCCTATTTGAAGTTAATTGTTTCAGTTGTTTTCCAATTTTTTTGATAGTTTTTCTTTTCAATATTTTGAATTTACAAATTAATAAAATTTTAATTTAATGCATTGAAGAATCTTTTCTTTTTATTCATTTCTTTTGAGTGAAAATGGATTTCATCTACTTAAATGTCTTATGTTCCAAGTAAAATTAAAAAATTAATTTTTAGAAATTTTTATTAACGATAAAATTATCTTTATAAGATAACATTTTTGATAAAAAAATCATATAATTAATATTGTTTTAACTTTCACAATTTGTTTTAAGTAGATTATGTTTTCTCATTTTAATTAATTAGAAATCTTTGATTATTCACAACTATTACTGATATTTTAAATTACAAAAAAAATATCTGCTAATAATATTTAATAATAATCATCAACATCATTTAATAAATTACCAAGTTTAGCAAATAATAACAAATCATTATTACTGTTCGATATAACTATATCGAACAGTAATTTAATCACTTTTTTCTTCACATCACCAAAATAATTCTCTTACTGAATAATGACAATTAATTAATTAATTAATTAATTAAATTAATTTATTGATTACAAATTTATATCAAGTAAACGCATTCAATTCAAAAAGTAGAAATTAAAATATATACACATATGAAATGTCATTATTTCAGGTTATAAACGGTACACTGTATATTTTTTAAATATAAAAAAGAAACATTTCATGATAAATTATAGGGTTAGTTTAATATCATTGTTTAAATGTTCTTAAAAGTTATTTATAATAATTATAAAAAACCGCACTAAATAATTATATATGAAAGTATAATTACTTTTGTCCATTATTGTTAAATTGATTTCTATTTTTATATCACATCACTGAATTACATTCACATCACTAACTAATTAACTAATTAATTAATTAATTAAACAGAATATACTAATTGATTAATTAATTAATAACACATAATTAAAATCAATTAATTCATATTATTCCAAAACACAAGTCAAATAGTATTAAAATACATTTCACAACAAATGGTATTTCTATTGCCATCTACCTTATAAATATAATATATATATATATTATATATATATATTATATATATATTTTATATATATTATATATATATATTCCGTAGAAAAAGACCTTTAAAATAAGCCTAAGATTATTAAAAAGCGTTCATTATTTTAGAAGTTATTTAAATTTTTGTAAGACATTGAGAATGACGATTTTTAGGAATATCTTCTACAAATTTTGGCCAAATGACTTCTGTAAGGTCTTATTCTTTTCAAAATTTTATCGTCTTTCAAAATATAAACCAAAAAAAATTTTAGTTTTCATGAATTTTATGTTAAAAAATTTTTGTCATTCCTTTAAAAATGGGTGGACTGACAATTGCGGACGGTACTGTAAAATAATATTATAATAAAATAATTTTTACATAATTACATTAATTTTATTACTCACATATTTATATATGTTTCTTAGATAAAAATGCCGAACGTATGTGCAGTTGCTGGTTGCAAAAATAAGTATGATAAAAATAAACCAGCTTTAAGTATGTTTACTTTTCCGAAAACTGAATTTTATCGCAAACAGTGGCTTAAAGTTTGCAAAAACCCAAAAATCAACGTAAAATACGGTAAGCTTAAAGACATTGCATAACTGTACTATCATAAACGATTTTAAAAAGTTAAATATAAGGAGACTTATTCTGAACTAATAAAATATATAATAAAATATGTAATATAATATAATATAATATAATATAATATAATATAATATAATATAATATAATATAATATAATATAATATAATATAATATAATATAATATAATATAATATAATATAATATAATATAATATAATATAATATAATATAATATAATATAATATAATATAATATAATATAAACGTTGCATTTCAATTTCGAAGATACATGACAATTTAACAATAAATAATATCATAATTTTATACATTACAGCTGCAATATGCTCTGAACATTTTCCGGTGGATTGCTATAAGGTTTCTTTTGTAAATGACACATTAAAAACTTATCGGACGCGTACAAGAAGACTACGTGATGATGCAGTTGCACTTCCAAATATTGACTTACTCAAAGCGATGCCTGCTGCTTCCAAGGTGAGAAATGATGTTGATGATATCCAAGGAAATAATGACATCAGTTCACCAATAATAAATAATTCGGAAAGTACTGCAGATAACACTAAAGCATTCGATATTTCAGACAGTACTACATCACCCCTTGTCGACAAAAATTTTATTTCTACTTTAGGAAATTTATTAAATGAAATTTTATGGGAATTTCGTGGACCAGAACACAGCGAGGAATTAAAAACAGAATTGGATAAATTACGAGAAGATATCAATATAGAACTAGAAAAGGAATTGAATGATGAAAACCTTAACAATTTATTATTCGATGAATTAGAAAAAACGAAACAAGATTTAGACAAATCAAGGAAAGAATTGGACAGGTCAAGGGAAGAAAAAAAGAAGAGTTGGAGAAAGTGAGAAAATTAAACGAGACTTTAAAAAATACTAAAGACAAATTACATGAAACATTTGCTGCATTAATTAATGCACAGGAAAATGTAAAAGTGTCTGAGAATATGAGACTTGAGTTACGACAAGCGGCTGAAGAGCATTTCAAAAATTTCTTAAAAAAGGAAAAAGAAGTGGCGCAGTGGAAAAGGTCCTGTAAGATTTAAAAAATAAGATCAGAAAATGCTGAGATAAATTTAACGTTAGCCAAAGAAGAAAAAAAAGATCTTGTAGATATTTACTCCTGGACAAATTCAAGCTCTCTTTAACCCTGGCAAAAGAGTTTGCTGGACTAATGAGGACATTGCTAGAGCCATTTCCATTCGTAGTCTAAGTTCTAAGTGCTACGATTATTTGAGAAAAATAGTAAAGATCCCTTTGCCAGGATTGTCCTCATTAAGGCGCTGGGTTAAAAAATTTGATGTTTCTCCAGGAGTAGTAACTGATGTTTTGAGTATTATGGAAAAAAAGCTAAATCTGTTTTTAAAAAAAAAATCAATGATTAACAGTGTTGAGCTTCGATGAAATCCATTTGTCTCCACAATTGTGTATTGACAAAAGTGAGGAACAAATAATTGGACCTCACAAAGCTTGTCAAACAGTCATTGCTCGTGGCTTGCTTACCAGTTGGAAACAGGTTGTTTATTACAACTATGACACGGCAATGGCAGAAAAAATTCTATTGGACATAATTAAACAATTAGAGACAAAGGGTTACACAGTTGTTTCAATTGTTTCCATCATAAAACTGACGAGAAATTGGTTTATAGATTCTTATTTCATTTTCAAAAATCAAAAAACTGATAATCAATATTTACACAAACTATTAAATATCAATAGAGGGGAGCTGAAATGTGCTTTTGCTCTCACGCTGGAACATCTTGTGGTTAAAGATACTAGTCGACAAAAAGTGAAATTAGCTACGCAATTATTTTCCCATAAAAATGCTAAAGCACTTTCATTTTGTTTAAACGAATTTAAATCTGGTAATTTAGGATTTTCAGGTTTCGAAGGTTGTGAGGGAACCAGCCGTGTGTTGCAATTGTTTAACGATTGGTTTGACCTTTTCAATGTGAGACAAAAATTCGACAGCAGTGGTGTCAAAGCTTTTGGAGTAGAATTATCAGAACAGACCACTCTTCTTAATGAAATGATAAATTACATATCACTAATGAGAGTTGGAGCACGTACTATAATACTTCCATTTCAGGATGCAATTCTTTTGAATTCGAAAGCTCTGCCTAGTCTTTACAGCTTTTTGAATGAAACATTTGGAGTTGAGTATATCCTGACTAATCGTCTCAATCAGGATGTACTTGAGAATTTTTTTTCATTCATTCGTGCTGTAGGAAGAGGGCATGATAAACCGAATGCATTAGAATTTCGACACAGGCTGCGGTGGTATATTTTGGGGAAACATGCAATGGTCGCACTATCTAACGGTTGCAATACAGAAAAGGTTTTACATGACAAAGCTCTTATAAATGCTGAAGATTTAAATAAAGTTACCAACAACGATGAAAATGATGATAGCATTTTATTGGTTAATGCATCAGATTTATATGAAAATTTAGAAGAGGAGATTAATATTGGCGTTTTAACTGAGGACATGGACGATGTTGAAATTACAGGGTTGGAATTAATCGAAGATGAGGGTGACAACGTTAGGTTGAGAACTGTTTATGAAACTCTTTTTGAAGTAGATGATGGTGGGGATGCAATTATTTTAAGTCTTTCGGATGATTTTAGACTGCAGCCTGATTCAAATGAAAGTGAAGAGGATCAAGAATGTATTTCAGGTTGGTGTAATACTTTTCCAATTTAATTTTTATCCAAATAGTACGTAATTATATAAATAATGTAGACAAAATAATATTACGTGCTACTTGGGTATTTTTATTGTAATTTTATATTATATTAATAATATATTGTACTATTACAGTTGAATGTCCAAAAGATTATGTACCGAATAATAATGAAGTGGACCTACTTGAATCATTAGAGAAAGAAATGGCAGTTGAAAAAATGGCTGAAGAAGGCTTAAAATATATTGCAGGATACGTTGCATATCGTTTTGGGAAAGATGATTCACTTGGTTGTCACACATCCAGATTGACAGAGCAACCTGATAATGACTGGATCTGTCATTTGTCTAAGGGATATCTAAAATATCCTTCAGATAAATTGCTTGTGGCAGCCAAGATCATGGAAGAGGAGTTTCAGTCTTTTCATGGCTTATCGTTTTCCAAGGAAAACAAAATTTATCAAAAAGTTGCAAATAAGGTTAGTGATAAATTAGAGGATAAATTAGATATAAAGGTATTATTGTGTCTGGTACGTACACGAACGCACATAAGATTGCGAATTTTGAATAGGAAAGTATATGAGAAAAATTCTAAAAGGAAAGCTAAAAAACGTGTAAAAAAATTCGCTAATACTAAATAGCGTGAATTTTTTTTAAACTGATGTAGTGAAATTATACAGAAAAAATACAAAAGAAACATGTAATTTATTTATAGGGCATTTAATACATAATGATAAATGAATGTGGAAACTTTAAACCGAATAATTGAATCTTTCTACTAATAAGAATAGAAAAAATAATAATAATAAATATTATGACATTATTATTAAATTATAATTGTCAATAATGAATTATTAATAATAATAATAATTATTATTTTTATGTTTATTATTATTATTATTATAACTAATAATTCGCTTTTTGGAAAATGTTTATTTAGTATCTAATTTATCTACTAATTTACCACTAATGCCTTATTTTGCAAAAGGTCAATTCCCTGTAATGTTCGCAATCACAATAATAGTTAATAATTAATATTAAAATTGAATGTTGTTATTAACAATTCCTAAAAAAATTCAAGATAAAAAAAGGTTGTCTTAGTTAATCTGGCTCAAAATTTATCTCATCATTTATCCACTGAAAATTGAAAAGAAATTGTCCCTTCAGTTCTTGCAGCATTAGAGATAAATGTAATGTTTTTAAATATATAAATAAATATATGTGAATGTTATGTATCAAGTTAATAATAAGTATTTAATAAAAAATATTAATATTTAATAAAGAATTATTTTACTTTTAATTTATTATTCTTTATGTTCTTTAAATTTGTTTCTGTATTTGATTCAAAATTTAGCGCTTCAATATGGTCGTCGCTTCAGGTAATCGCTATGAACGCGCTAGGCGGCCGTTGATGGTAACTAATAAGATAGTTATCACCCATCGGTAAAGCGCGAAATTTGAATTAAGATACATTTTTGATTTTATATTGTGAGTAGAAATAATATAATTCACGATAATTTTTTAATAAAATTTAAACAAACTAATTCAAATAATAACTTTGTTAATAAATTAATTACTTAAAATTAAAAAAAGACTTTTTGTATTATAATTACAAAAAGTATTAAAGTTATAGAATTATAATTTTTTAACTTTTAAAGAAATGTAAAAATATTCTACTTTTCTATTTAACATTTTTTTATAAAAAACGATTTAAAAAATGATAAAAAAGCATTATCATGTCAGAAATGAAAAACAATTTCTATTTACATTTCTTTCCTAAATTAAAACTAATAAACGATTGAAAGTAATATATATAGAAAAAAAGAATTTAAAAAAATATATAATTATAATCAACAAAATAAAAAATATTTTTTTCTGGAAAAAAACGATTGAAAAAAATGTGAAAAAATATTATCATGTCAGCAATGAAAAACAATTTCTATTTACATTTCTTCCCTAAATTAAAACTGTTGTTGATATATTAAATAAACGTAAACACCAGCAAATACACAGTAAAGAGATTTATTAAAAAAAATTTAACTATCGTCAAGAGACTTCTATACTGTACAAGGCGTAGCCATGAACTGGCGATTGTTTTCACACGGAAGTAACTAGTGTCCTCTATATTAAGAGTTTTGATTTGCGTAGTGCTTTAAATTAAAATATTCTGACAAAAACTAATAATAAACGATTGAAAGTAATATAAATGGAAAAAATAAATTTAAAAAAATATATAATTATAATCATCAAAATAAAAAAATATTTTTTTCTGGAAAAAAAACGATTAAAAAAAATGTCAAAAAATATTATCATGTCAGAAATGAAAAACAATTTCTATTTACATTTCTTCGTTAAATTAAAACTAATAAACGATTGAAAGTAATATAAGTATAAAAATGAATTTTAAAAAATATATAATTATAATTAACAAAACAAAAAATATTTTTTTCTGGAAAAAAACGAATGAAAAAAATGTCAAAAAATATTATCATGTCAGAAATGAAAAACAATTTCTATTTACATTTCTTCCCTAAATTAAAACTAATAAACGATTGAAAGTAATATATATAGAAAAAAAGAATTTAAAAAAATATATAATTATAATCAACAAAATAAAAAAATATTTTTTTCTGGAAAAAAACGATTGAAAAAAAATGTCAAAAAATATTATCATGTCAGAAATGAAAAACAATTTCTATTTACATTTCTTCCCTAATTTAAAACTAATAAACGATTAAAAGTAATATAAATAGAAAAAATGAATTTAAAAAAATATATAATTTTAATCAACAAAATAAAAAAATATTTTTTACTGGAAAAAAACGATTGAAAAAATGTCAAAAAACAAAAAATAGTATCATGTCAGAAATGAAAAAATACTAAGACTTTTAAAGAAGATAAAAGTGAATAAGTAGAAACTTAAATCTACTTTTTGTTGCTCCTAACATTTCGAAACATCGCTGACCAGAAATTATCTCTAGGATCATCACTTTTTTTTGCTTTTTTTGATAACGGTTTAGGTTCCAATAGTTTAATTTTTTTCATTTTTCTGCATTTCTATCTTTGGCTGCTTTTATTCTTTCGATTTGTAATTGTTTGTCGTCTGGTGTGTGCTGAGAAGTTGATGGTTGATTTTCGCTGTCTGTTCTATTTTTTATTTTCAATCCGGAGCTGTGGGTATGTCTGAAACTGTTTACTGGCGTAATGTGTGATTTTAGTGTTGCATCGGAGCATGAATCCGGCATTTCCATTCTCTTCGGAAATATTCCTCGAGATGTGGATTGTGTCGGTTGATCGTTCAGTTTTTGAGGTTGTGTTTCTAAAGATGCTGTGTTATTCTTCTGTATTGGTGTCGGTTGATAGTCAATTTTTGGAGGTTGTGTTTCTAATGCGAGTTGAGACTTTTCATTCTCATTAGATGATGTAGTAGTAGAGACGTCCATTCTTCGAATATATAATTCCGGGGATAATGGATTATACTCCATTCCTTCCATCCAGTTGAAAGCCACACTATTCTTCTCATAGATCTGTAAAAAAAGAAATTTTTTGAAATTATAGTAACATAATTTTAAGTCTCAAAATAAAGAAAACATAATTCCAACAGTAGCGTAATTTCTCAGCAATTTTGTCAAAATTTTATGTTAAATTAAATTTGACTCAATAAAAATATAAAATACCTTTCTTTTTATTGCGGCCAATGGATTTTCAACAGATATGACCTCCGGTTCGTTATTAACTTCCTATATAAACAAAAAAATATTTTTTAATTTTATAGTAACATAATAAATATATAATAATTTGAGACATTCTAATAATCCTAATAGCTAAATGACACATTTAGGTTAGAATAAAGTAATAAACACACCAAGATGAACTCCACAACGTTGATCAACAAAACAATTTTTTTAAATGTATATTATTCAAAGACAACGTAACAGTATTTTTACAAAAATTGTATTAAAAATATATATTTTTCTTTTTTTGTTTTAACAAAAATTAACATTTCTTTAAAGCAATATTCAGAAATATAAAACAAACTTTTTTTCGTTGACCAACATTGTGTACTTTCACTTCATACTAAACACTAATTTTTGAAATATTTTATAAAGTTTATAGTTCATATATAAAATTAACTGTATTTTCAATTGTAACTTAACCAACAAAATAACAATATTCTCACCATCTAAGCTGCATTTTCATTTGGCTTTAAGTTGCCTGATTCATCTACAGCAAGGTACTTTTAAATGTAGTAGTTTTTTATACCCTTAACAGAAAAAATATTTAGCAATAAGATTTTTGAATAAAAAAAGTTATATTATTATTATATGCAAAGAAAACAAACAAATATATAACATTTCAGTGAGTATAGAAAAATAAAAAGTTCAATAATACTTGTTGATACCATTTTTGAGGTTAGAAAAATCTGTCAATCTGTTTTTTATCATTTAAAATATAAGGTTATGTTAAATTAAGTTATTTATCAAATTCTATGTAATTCAAAAATTAATTTAAAACATTACCTTTCTTTTCACCACGTTCATCTCAGTTTCGGTCAAAAAAGCTATGAATCAATTATTGTTATGGAATTCCTACAGAAAAATTGAATATAATCTATTATTTTAATGAAGTATAATAATATTGATTTTATTATACATAAGTCTAGTATATTTCAACGTTATTTTTAACAAAATTACCAATTTTAATTTCAATTTAACTTAAAAGTTAATAATAAGTACATACCATCTTGCCTTTGCTTACTATTGTACACTGTGCAAAGTTGTCTGCTAGTGTTAAGGCGCTCTCACAGCTAGTAGGCAGCATACAAATTTGAATTTACTGTCTCTTTCACTCTAATTGATTTTCTCTCTTACTCCAATTACTGCCTGCGCAGGCAGGCAGAGCTGTGAGAGCTCCATTAGTAGTTTTTGACTATGACCACTACACTTTCAATACAATACTATATAACTTGATTATTAACATTTAGTTATAAAAATTAGTTAATAAATAATAAAAAAAAGCGGGACAATTTAAAATTATGATAAAATAATGGGAATAACAAAACTTATTTTTTCTTTACTGAAAACAAGACTTTATATTCATAAAGCGCGCGAAAACCATTCAAATTCAAAAGTGAAATTGTCAAAAATATTAAAATATATTTAGAAATCGTAGAACATAATTATTATGTAAGTATTGTGATACATTTATTTATTTATAATTTATATTACTAAATATTGAGTAATTTATAATATTATTTAATAATCTTAGAATTACTTTTTTAATTGTTAATAGTTTTTATTATAATTAAACTTACCTTTGTTAATACATAATTACCACACACTTTACAGTAATAATTATATACACATGAGGACTTCAGAAGATAAATAAGAACGTTATTTATCTGCATAAAAATAATAATTACTCATACTTACCTTAATTATTAATAATTAATTAAAAAAAGAAATAAATTAAACTTATCATAGTAAAATATTCAGAAATACATTGTATTTCACAATTTTGTTATAAATAATTTAATTACTAATTTTTACAAGAAATAATAAAAAATTATTTAATAATTGAAATATAGTTTGCGCAATATATTGCGTTTTTGATGAACTTTGCAAGATGATGTCAAATGCTTAGCTAAAAATTTGAAAGCCCAAGAGAATTTAATCTCAGTAATAATATTTTCTACCAATTGGTACTTAAGGTCTGATGGTAAAATAAAAACAAGATAGCGTCCAAGCAATTTTAAATTGTCTAATAAAATTCAAATCTCCCGCCAACAGCTCCATCGCTAAAACAGATTTCTACATTGCCAACCGAGTTTGGACAGCTACCTACTCCACCGACTGTTAACAATGTAGGAATCTGCATTACCGACTGTAGGTACTTAGCTGCGATCAGAACCTGGAGTCGTATCGGCTTTGCTATACTACTTCTCTTCATCCCCAAAACCAGTGTATCTAAAAGCTATAATTTGAAATTTAGTTCAATTTCCAAAAATTAACATTGTATACGTTTTGAGTATAGTTTTCTCCTTATGTATACCCCAGTAAAAAAAAAGTATTCAGAATACAGAAAAAGTATTGGTGGAGACGTTCGGTGAATGCGTTTTCGCGACAAAACCGTATTGGTGGGTTACGGTGAATACATTTTGCTTACCATGAATACTTTTTTTTAAAAACTTTCGATTTAAAGATTCCTAAGCAAAGTTGAGAATATTTATAAAGAGCGTAAGTGACCTGAAGTATAAAAATGACTATTGCGAGAAGGAAATAAGAAATTTTAAGAAAAAACGAAAAATTAAATGTGACAAACAGATTGTCAAATGTTGATCAATTACCATATGCTTTTCTGTGCCTACAACGTATGATGATTAAAAGGAACTTTGACGTTACCGGCGGAACTTACTGTTTCACATACATTTACTTGGATTTCTCAAGTTTCTGTCGGTATCGTCAATGTTCCTTTTCATCATCATACGCTGTAGGTTTGTCACATTTAATTTTTCGTTTTTTCTCAAAATTTCTTATTTTCTTCTCGCAATCGTCATTTTGATACTTCAGATCACTTACGCTCTTTATAAATATTCTCAACTTTGCTTAGGAATCTTTAAATCGAGAGTTTAAAAAAAAGTATTCACGGTAAGCAAAATGTATTCACCGTAATCCACCAATACGGTTTTGTCGCGAAAACGCATTCACCGAACGTCTCCACCAATACTTTTTCTCTATTCTGAATACTTTTTTTTTACTGGGACAAACATGTAGGTGCTTTTATTACCCTTTTACTTAACCTTTTGCAGCATACATTTTTCTAGTAAATGATTTTAATATAACCAAGTACACTTTAGGGGGTTTTCAGGGTCGCTGATTAAGAATCTAAAGTCAGATTTCTCATATTTTCAAAATTCAAAATGGCGAATCTACTACGGCGGACTAATTTTATTTAAATTAATCAAATTCGCTTGAAATGTGTTACTCGGGGGTTTTTGGGGCCCCTGATTACAAATATGACGTCAGATATTTAAAATGGCGGATCCAATATGGCGGACTAATTGTTTTTAACCGCAAAGGGTTAAACAGGTTACTCGGGGGTTTTTGGGGCCCCTGATTACAAATATGACGTCAGATATTCAAAATGGCAGATCCAATATGGCGGACTAATTGTTTTTAACCGCAAAGGGTTAAACAGGTTGTAATATGTTCGAAAAGTTCATCGAAATGTTTTACGCAGAGCAACTCAAAAATTAAGTTTACAAAAAAAACTATATTACTATAGGTAGAGGAGAACGGGGTGAGGCAGCCAATTGCTTCTTATTTCTGCATAATTTTTTTAAATCGTCCGCTATTGTTAAATTAGACTGCTTATGGTAGTTTACTTTAGTTGCTAACAGATGGGCATTATTGCTGCAGCAGTTTAGCAATGACAGTATCATCTATGAAAACAGACTTTTTGGATGTAACTTTTCTAAGAGTTATTTTGGTGATTTTAGTTACTAGTTACACGAATAAAATTCTTGTAAAGTGATTTTTAATGCAGAATTTAGTGCTGAAGACGATGGTGTTAATGAAATTGCGATATTTTTAATATTACGGGTTTTGTGGATGTTTTCTTAAAAAAGTACTCGTGGGGTTAGGTAGGCAACACTAAATTTTTCGTCTTTTTGTGTTGATTTTATTGGTTCTTTTAATGTTTTCTTTTTTTTTCCTCCTCCAATACATTTTAAACTTAACATTGAATTTTATAAACCGTTTTTTAAGAATAACAAATTTATATTTCCTTAAAATGTTAAATTGAATTTAATTAATGTTATTATTATAATATTATTCAAATGTAAGTTTTTGAAGCTTACTTACAAAATAAAAGAAAGTTAAGGACAACTACCTTGTTATGTTTCACTAATTTTAACTTTAAGTTATGTTTTTTTAACTATTAAAAAATTTGGCCGCCTCACCCAACGTTTTTGCTATTATGCCAAAAATGTGGTCCTTTGGGAAAAGGGTTGTAGAAATTTTTAAGTGCAACCTACGTCAAAATGTTCTATGGCGATTTTTTAGCCAATAAGACAAGCTTTCTAACGCGATATTAAAATTGAAAAAACCTATTTAAATAACTGCCTCGCAAACCAAAATGTGCCGTCTTGGCTGCCTCGCCCCGTTCTCCTCTACAACCTCGGGTATAGCATCCAAACTAGAATCAAAAGTTGCGTGTTACCTAATAGTATTTATAATCTAAATGCTTGATAAATCGGTTTAACAAATTTTAAATAAAAGTCAAATGGCTTTTTCACCCCATTCTATTCTACTTAACAACTTTATAAAGCTTGGTTAGGTGGGTATAAAATTTTTAAATAAGATTATTATGTTAAAAATAATATTTTTTAATTGAAATATTTTACAATATATTTTTTTATATAAATTAATGTTAACGAAATATTTTAAAAATAATATTTTTTTTAAAAGAAAAAACGTAAATGATATAATTATTCTTAAATTTTGTATTTTTTGTTTTGTCCGTGCTGTATATAATACTATCCCTATATTTATTATATATATATATATATAATATATATATATATAATATATATATATATATATATATATACTTATAATATAAAATCATTTCGCCGCCGCCGCCGCTGATTCAGAAATTTCTAAGGGCCCCTTATAGTAGAGGGAACATAGTCAAGGTTGGCCCACTGTCAAGGTAGGTCTATCGTCAGAAACAAGTTACATCTGACCTAAATGCAGGTAAATTTTAAGGGCAGTTTTAACCTACAGGTCAAAAATTGACAAACTCTGACCTGATATTCTCTCAAAATTAAGGTCAATTTCAAGGGCAGCTTTAACCTACACGTCAAAAATTGACAAGTAAATCCTCTCTGACTTACTGTTCCCTCAAAATTTAGCTCAACTTTAAGGTCAGTTTTGACCTAAAGGTAAAAATTAGGCCTACAAGCGTTAATTACATTATGTCGAAATCTTTAGGTAATTTGGCATTTTCTTTTACTTACAGGTCATAAAAGGCCAAATAATGGCCCTTACATTACGTCAACATTTATGTCAGATTTAACGTATTTTTAAAACTGCAGGTAAAGAAGGGCCCAATAATACCCCACACAGCACCGAAAATTCCCTGAACCTCGATTGAACCTTGCGCGGAGAGGTTCGGAAACTTCAGTAGCGAGATTCATACAAGTTTGTGTGGATGTTCAAATGTCCACATATATACAAGGTTTATCGCAGACATTGACTGAATATTGCATATCAATTTTCGTGAGATATTAATCGAAAATATTATTGCAAATTATTTCGAAAGATTTAAGGAAATTTAAAAGCGAAATTCGTTAAATATAATCATTAAATATTCTGTAAATTTAAAAAAGAGCGTAAATGTGGAATTTTTTAAAAAATTAAGTAAATTACAAAAAAATTAATATAATCAGATAAATAAAGTAGAATTTCATAGGTATATGTATATTTATTGATAATTCAAAGGTTAAATTATAATTCACAGAATTTCAAATTTCATATATTATTATTAAAATTATTTATTCCGTTGCTCTTAGTCTTCCCTTTTTTCTTCTTTTTCCGTTTTCCACTTGATCGTACGCTGAAAAACAAGTTATATTATATTATTTCTTAATTTTATTTATCGAAAAACTTAATTAAATTTACTTCTATTCAATTATCTGTATCCTGACACAGTGAAAGGAACTTTACCTCCATAAAAATTAATTTTAAGTAATTTATAACATTTTATCTAAATTATTTCAATCGACAAAATTGATTAATAACTGAAAATCAATATTTTTAGGCGTGTGGTCCTTTTCACGCGTCAGGACACTTTATTTTTAAAGTCAAATATTTAAAACTACATATTTTCTGCATAATTTTTTAAAGAATGTTTCTGCAGAAACCTGTATTGTCATATACATATTATAACTATTGTTAAGTGTATATAAAATTAGTTTTAAATGATAAGAATAAAAACATTAATATTACTCTACATAAATAATGATAAAATATAATTCTTTAAATAATGAAAATTATGCTGCTTTTTAAGAATAAACTGTTGTACCGTAACTTTGACAAAAAATTGTTAAAAAATTAAAATTTTAGGAGATTGACAAGTAACATAACGTTAAGAATTTTACAAATAATCTGGACTACGAGAAAAAATTTAGACAATAAATATCAATAAAACATAATTATCTTCAATGTAAAAAATAGTTTTACCTCTTCTTGAATCGTAAATAATCATACTCGCCGTGTCTAAAACACAAAACAGAATCAAGGGTTTTAAGTTAGTTTTCATACGTTTATTAAGAAAAGGTATTATAGAATATTCTGGTTTCATTTACCGGTAGAGATAACAGCAAGTTGTGGGTAAAAGGCGTATTTTCTCCATTCACCTCAAAAATAACGTTGCTCTGACGTTATTTCCATTGCCATATTCTAATTGATTTTTATTAACATATTTTCTTTATGTCCATTGTTTTTTATTTATTTCGTAAAATATTTTTAATTTTAAAAGAAAAATTTGTTTTCGAAATTTTGAATAATTTATCATAATTACAAAAAATATTTTATTCCAAACTATAATAGTTTACAACGAGTTACATTCTTCAAAAAGTTTTTGATAAACATGTTTTAAAACTGACAAGTGTTTAAAATTAAATTTTTTTTTTCAATAAGTGCTTGTTTTAAAAATGTTAAATGAAATATCAATTATATTTTATCAATTTAAATTATGGTTTTAAAATGATGCAGCGTTGGCCCCTGAAACAATTTATGTAGAAATGTTAATTAAAAATTAATATTTTTTAAAACATGGCCACTTAAAAAAGTAAACAAAATTTTCCTGACTTTTTTTTACCAATGGCCATCATTTTTAAACATTAGAGATTCATTCATTGGCAATAAAAATAGCTTTTTGAATAATTTTTGTTATTAAATATTTAATTTAAAAATGTGAAAAATTCAAATTTTAATTTCTTTAATGGAGAAAAGTTATTTTAAGAAAGGTTTAATTCGTTCAAAAAACTTAATTTAAATTTAATTATGTTTAAAAAATTACCTGTGCATATTTAAAAAATGACCAACATGCTGCGCTTGCATGGTACAAATAATGCATGACAAAATCATGGTTCGTATTGATTTAATCTATTCCGAAGCCATTATTCTGAATTTTCCCCATCTAAATCAGAGAAAGAAAAATTCTGAGCTGCCTCTTTCTCTAGTCTTTTTTCTTCCTTCTTCCTAAAAAACAAATATATTATTAATGTTAAATCGAAATTTAAAACAATAACCATAAGATAAATATACGTACTTTAACCGCTTAATTTTGTCGTTACAATGGACCAGCCAGTCTTCAATCCATGAATCAATGTTGGCTTGGGTTTCATTTTTATATAGTTTTCTTGATGCCTCTGGAAGTGAGTTATTAAAATTATATTTAACTCATTTGTGAAAAAGCAAAATTTTAGAGAAGAGCGTTTAAATAAAATCAGAGTGGCCGCAAAATTTTATTTTCAAAATTCCCTGACTTTGCCCTAATTTTTCTCTGACTAATTTTTTATTTTCTCTGAATAACAAATTTTTGATTTATTTTATATTCTACATTAAAATGTCCGTAAGAAGGTCCAAACTTATAAAAAATGCAAGGACACCATTATAATGAGCTATATTACAAAAACGTCTAAATAAAAACTGAATTGACATTTAAGTAACAACATTTTGTAATTTGTGGTGTTTTTCAATCAAAATTCCCTGACTTTTCCCTGATTTCCAGTTGTTCCCTGACTTGAGGCCACCCTGAAAATTAAAGAATGAATTACTTACGCACTACTAGACGATGAAAAACAGAACCCTGAAACGCAATTTTCTTGCCCCCTCTTCCCTGGAAAGTAAATATTGTGCCAGTTGTTAGGTTTATTAGTGCATTCATAATGGATTTGACAGTCATGGAGAGGGTTCTTAACTTTCCCAAACCTGTAATTGATTTAACCTGAAAAGAATACATTTCGTTATATCTATAAAATTAAAACTCCACTGTTATAAGCATTTTATTTAAAAAACAAAGGTTAATAAAAATGAAAAAGTTAAAACTACTCACTACACTTTTATAGTAATCTTTGTCGTCCAATTTTATTTTCATCTCGTCATAATCTGCCTGCGTGTTTATAGGAAAGTTTGATAAATGGTCCTCTGTATCGGAATCATCTAATTCTTTAGCAGGCTGCATTGAGTCTATTCGTGACACGATATATTCACATACTACTCCTATAGTGTTGACTTTTTTGTGCAGACAAACATCTTCGGGCGACACTAAACATTGATCAAGACATTTGTTTTCATATAAGGGTAAAGAGAAAATAAATGTTACGATAGGATAGTTTTGTGCCCTTTTAGGTTACCGGTCGTTCACAAACTATGTAGCCCTATTTTTAAAATCTTAACACTCCCCGGTAGTAGATTTTTACATAGATTAGTGCCATTTTTTCTGCTTGTCAATATTTCCCTGACTGTTTCTTGATTTTAATCAAAAATATTTATGTTCATTCTAATCCTGCTGAGAACTTTAATTCTAAATTTTTCAAAAATTCAATTACTTTCTTAATTTTTATCATTAAAAATTATCATAAAATAAATATTAAAAAAAATTATTTCTAAAAGTAAACCAATAACATTATTTAATAAAATTATTTAGAATTTCAACAGAAATTCGTTTTTATTTCAATTCTTTTTAAAAACTTTAACTCAATTTCTACTATTTTTAAATACAAAAATAAATAATATATTGAAAAATTGGTTGTTTCTTAGATTCTAATTCTTATAAAGAATTATAAAAAATTTATCCATTTTTTAAAAAATAATTGAATTTCTAAAATTAATTTTATTATTTACAAAAATAATTGAATTCTTGCGAAGAATTTTATTTTATTCTTTTTTAATAATCTAATTCTCGTGAAAAATTTTATTATTTGGGAAAATAATTAAATTATTGTGGTAAAATCTTACTGTTCCAACTATCCACTTCCTGTGGATCATCAGAAAATCTGGAACTTTTTCTTTTCTTCCCCCTACCTGCATTCGCATCTTCTAAAATAACAAATTTTTACAATAAAATTTTATAAAATAAATTAATTAAATGAATAGTGATAGTATTTCTTGATTGAATTTGAATTTTAAAATTAGATATGAAATTTACTGCATGTAAAATTTTATTGAATCAAATATAAGTCATAAAATACATTTTAATCTTTAAAAATCAATTGTTATAGAAAAACGGTAAAACAATTTTTAGTAATTCAGACTCATGAAAATGTTTAAAGTGATTGAATTTTTAAAGAAGTTAATTTAAATTATTATAAGCAATTGATTATTGTTTAAATTATAATTCATGAGTTTGTTTTACAAATTAGAATTCAATAAAAAACAAACTCACCACGCTGTGAATCTCCTGTTAGAACCTCCTGTGGATCAATTTGATCGCGGCCTTGACCTTGGTCCTGCGTAGGTGGTCCTTCTGGACGCTTGCCTATAAAGACATTACAATAAAACCAAAAGTGGAAAAGCAAACGTAATATTATAAAGTTTTTCTACATTTATGAAAATTTATTAAAAATATAATGCCAAATTCGGAATTAACGAGGTCAAAAACTCGCGAATATAAATCTGATTCCAGGCGAATTTTACTAATTTTTATACTATTTTGGAACTAGAAAACAAAAAACTATTTCTGCTATTTAAATGTTAGTATTTTACTAGATTCGATTATCGGGCTTCATTTAATTAATTATTAAAGGAAACAATATAAATATACGTTACAAAACTCACCATTTGATTCCGTTTCTTTAGAAGTATGTGCATGACTTTCTGTAGCAGCCATTTCATCCTCTAGCACAATTTTTTCAGCTACTTCTACTACAGATTTATCACCTGAAACATTTGCTCTCTTGACAGGGGACACATTATTTCTTGCTTCTAAAATGAAATAAATTATAGTTCATGATAATTAAGTTATTCATTTGTAAATTTTTTTAACATAAATAAATTAACTCAAAATTTAATAATGCTTACGGTACTGTAAAGAATTTATGTCCAGTTTTTTTAATTGAGAAGTGAATGTTTTGTTTGTCGTCGTCCCATTTGAACCATGCTCTCCATCCGTAAAATCACTATCAATTCTTTTTTCGTTTCGAGAATGTCTCGAGCTTTTTAAAATTTCCATATTCAGATTATCATCCGTTTCGATGTCTGAAATACCATCTAAATAAAAATCACGTTTCTTTGCGGCATCTTCTAATGTAGCTGTAAAGTAAATTTTTTTTAATGTTATTTATACTAAAGTCAGATGTTTTTAATTTTACTTTTAAACAATTATAATCGAAATTTTTTTAATAAAGTACAAAAATTACTTCTACATATTTAAAACTAAAAATTAATTTATTGAAATTTTTTTTATTAAATTTGTTGTCAATTTAGTGATTTTAGATAATTTTACAAAATTCTATGAGAATTCAATTATTTACAATCATTTTTCAATTAAAAAGTCTTAAAAATTATTTATTGATAAATGTTTGTAATATCTTACTTATTTTTAATTATTTTAATAAGTTTTCCGTAAATTCAATTTTTTAAGAAGATTTTAATTATTTTTTGAATTAAAAAAAAAATTTTAATTTTATATTAAAATAATAGTGATTTGAAGTTGTTTAATGTAAACGACAGTTGACAAGAATTTTCTTAAAATTTAAAATTAAATTAAAAGATGTAAATAATAATAATAAATGAATTCTTAAACAATTTTTAAATAAGAAATTTTTATAAATATTTTAAAGGTTCAATATTTTTAAATACAAATTTTAATCACCTGTGTTGCGAACATGCTTGAGGACAGTGTAAGGTGTTCCTTTTGTGTCACTACCCTATCTGATGTTTTTTTTACAATTTGGATCCTGTAAATATTTCTTTAGTTCCTTTTCACTTTTGTGGGGAGGGTACAAACTCGATACAATTTTGCCATTTTCATCGAAAGTAGCCCAAGAACTTCGGATAATTGCAACCCCGTCTTCGAATTCGACAACGGCAAAAATCTGGTCGCTCATAGTTGCAGCTTATAAAAGAATTAAAATAGAAGTTAATGTAATAACAACAATATATAGAAAAATATACAGAAATAAATATGTAGACAATATACAGAAAATTTTCTCCAAAGATCTGAGATAGGCCGAGTTATAGTTTATAACTTTGAAAGTATTGAGTTTAGAAAAAAGTTGTCAAAGAAAGAAAATTTTGGTTTTTCTTTAACTTTTAAGTAATTTAAAAAACAAATTTTTTTTATAAACAATTTAATTTAAAAATTAAAAGAACGAAAACTATGATTCGGCCCACGTCAAGTCTTTTGAGAAAATTTTCTTTGTATTGTTAGTTATAAATAAATAAAAAAAATAAAAATTAATCACACCCAAATTTAAAAAAAAATTAATACTGAAAAGCTCAAGTTCGTACCTTACTTTGATAAAAATTACAAGCAAAGAAAATTTTTGTAGCGGTCTCATCTGTCAGACCGGCATATCATTTCAAAGGTTAATCTCATTTAATTAAGATAAATTATTATTCTCATGTTATATCATATATCAAAATTTAATTGTATATAATTTTCGAATATTTATATAAATATACATTTTTTTCGCAAAATGGAATTGAAAACGTTCTTAACGCAACGTGCAATTTAAGGTTATAATGTAACGTTACAAGCCGTATCGTTTTTTTTTATCCTTATTAAATTAAATTTTAATAAATTGTATTCACAATTACTATAATTAGAAGAGTATATTTCCTATTATATTTAATTATAACGGTAAAATATACATAAGCGAAATTAAAGAAAAATGAAAGGGTCATACGAGCCATCAAAATTGAACTCCCCTTTTCTTACTTAGAAAGGCATTAAGTAGTTTTGATTCTTAGTAAAATTCTATTCTATTACGCTTCTTCCAAAATACTTTTACAACTATTTTATCACAAATTCACAGAATAAATTATTGCACTAAACAAAACCGAACATATTGCAATAAGTTAGAGTTTTGCAATAGTGTCAACAAATTATAAGGAATTTACATTGCGCGTGCATCATTTTTACAACTTGAGAATCCAAATTCCATATCCTTCTTTGAACCAAAAACTTAATCGAATAAAATAATTGCCAAGTATGAACTAATGGAATAATTTCATAATTGTCCTCTTTAGCTCCATAAATTAAAAGTATCAAAGACTCTTTTAGGTTAATGACCAAAATGTAGTCTGTTGATAAAATGGAAACGTAAGCGTTTCTAAAAGATCTTTGACATCAAAGACTCTGTTGCAAATTCACATGTTGCAACCAATATAAGGAACTAAACATTTTTGCACAGTAAGAGGGTGCAATGACATTAAAGTTATTCCAAGTTATAATAATTATTGGCCAATATAAGAATACGTTTCCCAATCCTTTATCCCTCTCCACTAAATTTTGACACACTCAAACCTCAATTTCAGGTATTAAAACTGATGTGTCCCAATGTAAATTGCTTCTTCGCGACAGTTAACTCCTGGAGACAGGTTATCGCGAGGTTGACCGTCTGCGAAACTCGGCCGGTTCAAGGGTTCGCCACGGGCAACCGAATTCGGGCGGACGTTAAAATCAAAAATCGCGAAGTGTTTGGAATAGAAAAGACTGAGAATTAACAGTGAACACAAAAATAAATAATGGAACAATTTAAACCTTCTCATAAATAAAATCACGATTGTCGATTACTCTCGTTCATATATTCCACAATTTTGGCAGCCCTTTCGTCACACTTTGAATTGTTTTGAACTTATGACAACGATCATAAGACAAGTCCAAAACAATAGATATTCGAATTAAATAGCCGCGTAAAGATTGAGGAATCGAAACGAGTAGAGACAAAAACAAAATATTTAAAATGAGTGCTTCAAATTGTCCCATTTAAATAAGTTGTTAATAGTGAACGTTTTGAATAGCAAAGACTGAAAATTAATGGTGAACAACACTTTAACAAATTAAAACAAATAAACAAATAGTTGCCCGTCCTAATAAGAAGGAGGACCAGCTCTAGATGACCTTTTCTCCCTTCTTTTAAGTGCGGTAGGAATTAAGGCCAATACTTCGTAAGTAACAAATAGTATCGTTTCAAAATTTAAGTAAATCCTTTTATTATGAAAATTGAATCATATTTCATCCAACTTTAGTTCATATTTTCGAAATCTGATTTTGCGAAATTTAAAACTTGTAATAAAACTTGGTTATTTTAAATATATCATATTTGACATAAATTATTGTGATCTTTTATTTAAATAATAATAACAAGCTAGAAATTCTCTTAATAAAATTTATAAAGAGGCGAGATGTACCAAGATTAAAGAGAGATAACGACCCCATAAATTATCAAAGAATTGAACTAAATAAAATATTATAAATTCTAATTCTTTCTTTGTTACAACTCCGAAGATAGTGATTCCTGATTATAATTAATACTCATTTTTTCATTAATTTTTGTAACAAATGGTGGCAGCGGTGGGATCATCCCTCGTTTCTCGCCTTACTTAATTATATTATTAAATAATTTTTCGAAAAATAATTCTAATATTTTATGAAATCTTTCCGATAATTTTGCTATAAACAGTTATACTTATAAGACTTCTCTAGGTTCGTTGAACGGACACTCAAAAGAGGTGAAGCTAAAATTAATTGTTTATTACAAATTGTTTTTAATTTTATTAACTTTATATTATTTAAATATCAGTTTATCACCACATTAGACTTTCCTCTTTAATTTAAAATACAATTATGAATGGATGTCTCGCGGTAGTTGTAACATGAGACGGTGTTGTATTACTACTCGACAGCCATCACACTATCTGTTAGAAATAAAATATTTCCTCGTTGCAGAATTTTTGACTATTTTAAAAGGTTATTCAATAAATAAATTATATAAAATTTCATTCCCTATCTTGTGATTACACTTTTCAAGCAAGTTTTAAACAATCAAATTAAAAATTTTTAATTATGTCAGTTAAAATAATGAAATTACGGTTTTGCTAAATTAAATGATATAAATTTTTCAATACGTACGTTTAAAATACTTTTTATTTTTGTAAAGGGTGCAATTAATTTCGCTTGAATACATATTAGTTATTATTTAATTTAACTGCTTATTTTGCTAAACTGTCACATTCTCACTTATAAGGTCAGTAGTACACTGACTTGTTGTGATACCTTATCCAAGATCAGGTTACTTTTATGATTTTAAAATTTAAGTTTACCTTATTCATTTATCTATCTTGCTCTTCTTTTTTTTGAAAATATTCTTTTGATGGTGTGAACTTTATTTTGCAATCACACTACTAAAAAAGAGGTCAATTAACATACATTTTACAATTGTCATTTTTACCATGACATGTCAAAATTGCATTTGTCAAAAAGGTCCTTTAGAACCTTCTAAAATCACTTTTAAGCCTAACGACACGCATGCTCTAAAAGCCTTACATTATCCTATGAATAAGACTGAATTAAAAGCATTTTTAGAGTTAGTAGAAATCTTTGGAAAGCTTGTAAATAAACAATCTTTAAGAAAGCAAGTATATCTTATCGAATTATTGCATTGCAATGAAAAGTGGAATTGGACTAAACAGCATCAGATCTGTTTTCGATACGTTAAATGGCAATTGTCTATTATGACATTAATTAATAAAATTGACAATTCTAAACCTCTCCTACTAACAGTTCATGCTTCCGGTTATGGAATTGGGGCCATTTTGTCTCAAAATTCTGATGGGGAAGAAATACCATTGGCTTACTTTTCCAAATATCTGAATGAGTATGAAAGATGGTATGATAGAGTAGAAAGAGAATTTTTAGCGATCTATTATTCTGTAATTCAGTTCGAACCCCACTTGATTTCAAAAAAATTGTCAATTAACAGTAATCAAACGCCTATGATGCGCAAGGGTTTATTCCCTAAGAAGAATCTCTATTGGATAAAACTTTCTGAAAAATTTAGTTTTGAAATAGATCACTATAATACTAAACTAATAATCGCAGCAAAAGTATTCTCGAAAAATCCAACTCCTAGTAATTAATGGTAAAAAAAACCAGATTCGAGAATTGGACAAAACATTCATTATTTACTATCATAAAGATAAACACATTATACATGGAAGATTCTTCTTTCATTTTGTGTTAGTAAAACGAAATGTGCAACCTAAGAGTCGCATATTTCTGTTCGAGTCGAAAATTGCCATGTCATCAATGTCGACTCCAGGTAAGTATAACGAGTAAGTACTATGTTTTTATTTTGTTGTTTTATTTTTATTATTTTAGCCTAATTCTTTGATTGCAAATTTTCCAGACCATTTAGAACTGTCACTTGATCAATTTTGTCATTTAAATTGACAGTGGTTCCTTACTTATTACCAATAAAAGTCAAAATAAGTAAACAGGATTAAATGGAATTTTATGCCAAAGGATAGTAAAATTCGCTGACTAGTATTTACAAGTATTTGTTTGTGGCGTTCCCAATAAATTCTTTTTAAAATATCTTTGTTACTTTACGTAATGATTGGCATTATTGTTGTATTTAAAAAAAAAATTTAAATAAAAAAAAATAAATAAATAAATAAATAAGAACAATTTGAAATAAATGTCATAATTTTGAAAATGGACCTAACTTATTTCACTTAAATTCAAACCGGTAATAATTAAACATAGATTTATTCTGCTGAATTGTCACATTTTTAATGACTAGGTCAGTGATACAATGTTGTAACACCTTATCCTGGATCAAATTACATTTCCATAATTTAAAACTTTATTTATTTCGTTTCTTGTGCTTTCTATCTATATTCTAACATTGTTAATCTTTTTGGCAGAATACTGTTTCTATTGTTCTCCTAGAATAAAAAGGTATTAAATCAATGACTTAAGTTATTGATTATGACTCGTTTGATCCATAAATGGGATTAAAATCGTATTGTATTATTATAAAAGTTGTAGTTTTAAAAGAAAATACTATTATATGAAGAATTGCATTTTATACTAAATTGGGAACAAGTGGCAGTGATTTAATTTCTGTTTTAATTATGATCGGTAGTACATGCTGTCAATTTAAAGATATTAGCAAATGCTCCAAATTTTAACATTTAAATGTATTTAGAAACATAAAAAAATATATTTATAGAAAACTAACGAAAGCTTAAGTTACGTATAAAATTAATAATAAAGTTAATAATACAAAATCATTTTTCCAATTTTTTTACATTATAAATCTATACAAACCGTAACTATCCATACTTGTAACCGTTGTATTCTGGTGGTCTGCTCGCGGTTTGAAGTTGTTGTTGATTGTTTTTTTTTGTTTCTTAAATTCTTTTAAGGGTATGTGGAATCAGCCAACTTCAATTAATACATGTATTAATATTCCCACCGGTTTTCTAAAAAAATATTTTATAAATCTTGACAAAATATAAGAAAAATAATATTTTATTTATTGAGGCATTGATCTCTAGTCCAATTAATACAAAAATTTGCTTTTAAATATTATTTTCCATTTAATAAAAAGTTTAATATTTTTTGAGAAAAAAAGACAATCAAATACAAATTAATATTGAAAAAAATGAATAAATTTATATTTTTCTATTCAAACTTTCATTTTTTTGACAATTTTTGAGAAAAAAAGACAATCGAATACAAATTGCCATTGAAAAAAATGAATGTTAACATAGAAAAATATAAATTTATTCATTTTTTTCAATATTAATTTGTATTTGATTGTCTTTTTTCTCAAAAAATATCAAACTTTTTATTAAATGAAAAATAATATTTAAAAGCAAATTTTTGTATTAATTGGACTAGAGATCCATGCCTCAATAAATAAAATATTATTTTTCTTATATTTTGTCAAGATTTATTAAATATTTTTTTAGAAAACCGGTGGGAATATTAATACATGTATTAATTGAAGTTGGCTGATTCCACATACCCTTAATAATCAATTTTCTTTTAAAATATTCTTAATTTTAAGATTTGTTTCTGGTGTAAATCATTAAATTGTTACAACAATCTTACCCTTAAAAAAATAATAGTAATAAAATTTAAGAGACTAATTTGATTCTTGCGATGAGTTTTGTTGGGATTTTTTTTTTTTTGCATATAATAAAATTCTTTTGTGTTATTTTAATTAAATTTGATAAAAACTAATTTAGTTCCTTTAATATTAAATTTTTGAAATTATAAATGATAATGATTAATTTTGTAAAAAAAAAAAAAAAAAAAAAAAAAACTTTTGTTTATGAAATTATTTTACAGTTTACATTTGAAAACAAAAAGAATAATTTTAGAATGAAAATTTTGAATTTTCACTGCAAATAATTTTAATTTCTAATTATGCAATTGCATAATTTCAATTACAATGTTAGGAAAATGTTAAAAGGAATAAAAACTAATTTCTCCAAGTAATAGAATTTATTGATTGAAGCACATAAAGATGTTTTATCACTAAAACATATTCCGGAGAAGTCTTTTTCTTAACAAGGAAACCATGCGGAACGTAAATTTACATTCCAACGCTAAAAAAAAAGAAGAAGAAAGAAAAATGTAATAGAAGCTTTATTTTGCTAAATTGATATAACAAATCTCTCAAATTAATATAACTGAATTGGAAAATAAATTGTTATACTACTAACCAAATCCCAATTGTATTGTGTTAGTCCCGGAATTTCCCATTCTAATTGATATTTCTGTTCAAATATCAATTCTACGGCCTTATTTTTCGGTCGGTATCCCTCCCTTGGTGGTACTCCGGGAAGCAAAATGAAAGGGCTGAAATATAAACATCGATTGTAAATAAGACATGTAATGCATTTTTCTTAAATTACTGCATTCGAAATAAACTAAAATACTCACAGTTCAATAGTGCTGACACCCAGCACACCTACTATCTTCTCCATTATCTCCTCCATTGGGTATTTACAAGACGCCGGGTACAAGAATTCTTTAGGAGCCCAATAAGTACGAGTTTCATATTTCCTTAGGTCCCAAGACCACCTGTATTCTTGATGCCAGATGGCACCATCATAAGGAGCATCTCGCAAATAGAATGAAGATGCATCTAAGGGCCAGTTCTTTACTCCGTCCCTTAGTGGTGCATCTACCCACTCCGACATTATAATTTGTGCACTAAAAAAATAAAAAAATAAATAAAAAAAAAAGAGGCAGTTTAAGTTAAAAGTTCTTAACAAATAATTAGGACAATCACAGCTCTATTTACGAGGCGATTTTAGTGGAATAAAAATTTTAATTCCTATAATTTCAGTTTATTTTATTTAACATAATATCACTAAAATCTAATATATTTTATCTATTCTTAATATAATAAGACAGTGGATGATAATTAAACAAAGAAAACTAAACCAAAACTTACCCCCGATGTCCTGATTGGAAAGAAGAATTCTGAGCATTTTCTATATCCACTGCTTTTGCAAGCAAAAAGGATGGAATATCCGTAATGTTGCGTTCAATAAGTCCCAACACCATCTGGAGGGACTGAAGATCAAAAGACTCTAAATTTGACATTATTATTTTTATTTACTTCACTTTCACTAAAACTGCACAACCGACCAACGCGAGTTCAGAAAGAAGACTAATTCGACGATACAGTGTATTATACAGACTAAATTAGACCTAAGGTTTGCAAAAATATTATCTATGCAATAAGAACCGGATAAATTTACGTTACTCATCAAAAGTTCGATATATTACAGAATATCGTGAGAACTTAACAAAATTTTAGTCTGATCAGCGTATTTAGTTATTTCAATTAATTTACATATAAATCTCTGAATTACTAAAGTATATCAGGGATGAATTTTAATAAGAAAAGCATATATTTTATTAAAATCAGCAAAATAAAATAAAATAAAATATATAAGAATAGAAATTTCTTAAGAATTTTGTGTCAGCAATAACTCCTCGACAGATCATTCAAATTTCAAATTATCACTCTTAAATAGTTTTAAATATATTGTAATTTTTTTTAGTATTTAAAAGGTCATTCTTTATTCTACACAAGTAATACAAGTGTTTCTGTTTGTGGCGCAATCGTGTCGCACCACTAACAAAATCATAAAAAAAAGAAATATATCATGATATAAAATGGTCAAACGGAAGCCACTGGTTTATTTTAAATTTTACGGTAACTGAATACCTTGCCTTCGAATGATTATAAATATTTCCAGGTGCAATTGCTAATATCTCTATTAAGACAGTTTTTATCTGGTGTAAAATTTGCAATCGAATAAGAAAATAATAAGTCGATTAACATATTTTCTTATGTCTTCAGGTAAGCAAAACCCGAAAATATAACAAATCATCTTGATGTCCATCCCTTCCAAATTGCACTCAATCAGTCAATCTTAGAATCTGATATTAAGGAAAATTCTGGACCAATAGGACAAGGAAGAAAAGCAAATCAATTTTAGCCTGTCGATTATAAGAAAAACTAAGAGAATTTTTAATCTAAAAATTTAAGCTGTTGCAATAAAATATACTGGTGTATATTCTGAAGTAAAAAGAATGCCCTTAAATTAAAAGATTAAAGATTCTACTTAAAATTATAGAAAATGGGATATTACTGACTATTAAATTTACAAGAAATTTAATACTAGATGTTGCAGTAATTGACACATTATCTAAATAAAATAAATTAATAAATGTATAAATGCATAAAAATTTAATTAGAATTCATTTTGTAAAACACTAATATTGTGCGAATAAGCATATGACTATACGCACACTATTATGAAATTAGTTTAAAAGAAAATCTCTCTACAATACAGCCTATGAACGTATAATAGAGATGGCAAATTTTATTCGTACCGCACTCGTTTAGCATAACAATATTTAATTATTTAGTATAAAGCCAAGATTATATTATTGTTCTTTTGTATAATGTACTGAACAACGAAAATCTTATGTTATTAATTGACCGCATTGTTATTATATTGAATGAAAAGGAAATTTGATTGCGTAGTTCTCTTATATTATAATAAATTAATATAAATTGGTTTATGAAACCTTAATATTAAATAAAAATCATTTTATTCCAAGTAAAATCTTTCTTGACTTCCACTATGAGAAGAAAATTTAGGATATTTAATCACTATAAATGTCTATAGAATAAAATGCAAGTTCTCTATTAGGCTTCAAATAATTAAATGTAATGTTTACTACATATTTTTCCTTTAAACGAATGGCGATGGAATATTATATTGTTAATTTCTCAGACATCGACCTCGACGATGAGTTGTATTCTAATTCTTCTTATGAAATGTTAAAAAAAAAAGGATGGAATTGTGTTACTAAGAACACAATTTTAAAAATTTAAGGCAAAATCTTAATCATCCTAGTAAAATGTACTTATCACTACGTAGCATAATGTTATTCGCAATAATAGATTGAATATAGTAATGGTGAATTCAATTTATTGAAACTAAAAGTTTTCGGGACGTAAACATGTAATTCTGTTTGTGGTTTGTAACGTTACAAGCCGTATCGTTTTTTTTATCCTTATTAAATTAAATTTTAATAAATTGTATTCACAATTACTATAATTAGAAGAGTATATTTCCTATTATATTTAATTATAACGGTAAAATATACATAAGCGAAATTAAAGAAAAATGAAAGGGTCATACGAGCCATCAAAATTGAACTCCCCTTTTCTTACTTAGAAAGGCATTAAGTAGTTTTGATTCTTAGTAAAATTCTATTCTATTACGCTTCTTCCAAAATACTTTTACAACTATTTTATCACAAATTCACAGAATAAATTATTGCACTAAACAAAACCGAACATATTGCAATAAGTTAGAGTTTTGCAATAGTGTCAACAAATTATAAGGAATTTACATTGCGCGTGCATCATTTTTACAACTTGAGAATCCAAATTCCATATCCTTCTTTGAACCAAAAACTTAATCGAATAAAATAATTGCCAAGTATGAACTAATGGAATAATTTCATAATTGTCCTCTTTAGCTCCATAAATTAAAAGTATCAAAGACTCTTTTAGGTTAATGACCAAAATGTAGTCTGTTGATAAAATGGAAACGTAAGCGTTTCTAAAAGATCTTTGACATCAAAGACTCTGTTGCAAATTCACATGTTGCAACCAATATAAGGAACTAAACATTTTTGCACAGTAAGAGGGTGCAATGACATTAAAGTTATTCCAAGTTATAATAATTATTGGCCAATATAAGAATACGTTTCCCAATCCTTTATCCCTCTCCACTAAATTTTGACACACTCAAACCTCAATTTCAGGTATTAAAACTGATGTGTCCCAATGTAAATTGCTTCTTCGCGACAGTTAACTCCTGGAGACAGGTTATCGCGAGGTTGACCGTCTGCGAAACTCGGCCGGTTCAAGGGTTCGCCACGGGCAACCGAATTCGGGCGGACGTTAAAATCAAAAATCGCGAAGTGTTTGGAATAGAAAAGACTGAGAATTAACAGTGAACACAAAAATAAATAATGGAACAATTTAAACCTTCTCATAAATAAAATCACGATTGTCGATTACTCTCGTTCATATATTCCACAATTTTGGCAGCCCTTTCGTCACACTTTGAATTGTTTTGAACTTATGACAACGATCATAAGACAAGTCCAAAACAATAGATATTCGAATTAAATAGCCGCGTAAAGATTGAGGAATCGAAACGAGTAGAGACAAAAACAAAATATTTAAAATGAGTGCTTCAAATTGTCCCATTTAAATAAGTTGTTAATAGTGAACGTTCTGAATAGCAAAGACTGAAAATTAATGGTGAACAACACTTTAACAAATTAAAACAAATAAACAAATAGTTGCCCGTCCTAATAAGAAGGAGGACCAGCTCTAGATGACCTTTTCTCCCTTCTTTTAAGTGCGGTAGGAATTAAGGCCAATACTTCGTAAGTAACAAATAGTATCGTTTCAAAATTTAAGTAAATCCTTTTATTATGAAAATGGAATCATATTTCATCCAACTTTAGTTCATATTTTCGAAATCTGATTTTGCGAAATTTAAAACTTGTAATAAAACTTGGTTATTTTAAATATATCATATTTTACATAAATTATTGTGATCTTTTATTTAAATAATAATGACAAGCTAGAAATTATCTTAATAAAATTTATAAAGAGGCGAGATGTACCAAGATTAAAGAGAGATAACGACCCCATAAATTATCAAAGAATTGAACTAAATAAAATATTATAAATTCCAATTCTTTCTTTGTTACAACTCCGAAGATAGTGATTCCTGATTATAATTAATACTCATTTTTTCATTAATTTTTGTAACATATAAAAATGGTTTTAACCGTTTTAAAGTTCTATTCCACAATTATAAATTAATATAACAATTTTTCCGCACTACACTAATAAATACATTGAAAATAAAATAAAACACCTTACCTTTGTGCCCGATTGAGTTGATTTTCTTGGATTAAAATTAAAGGTAAACTGGAAACCCTGGAAACACACAATCTTTTCTGCGAAGCACGCTTTTAAAACCACGTATAAGTAATGTTGATACTTAGGAGTTAGGTCGCCTGCTGTAGACAGACGCCGCAAATTCTCGCGATATTGCCCGCGAGAAAGTCATTTAAATATAAAAAAACCATTGGTCGGAATTGGACTTCCTGTCAAAAAAGTGCTATCCTTCCACGAATAGTAGTTGTTTTGGTAATACTGTGATTGGTTGATTCAGTGGTATATTTTTGGAACCGAATCTACATAGGAAATCCATGTTTGTAAATTACACTGTAAGCGTGTGTGCATCATCGACTAAGACATAGAATAGAAATCAACTGAAATACCATATTTAAAACGTGATCGACGCTACTTAAGAAGGTAAGAAGGTTTTTTCCTTAATTTATTTTTTAATACTTACAAATATTTTATTGAAATTACTAAGTTCTTTACAACTACAGTTGTATTATAAGTGCGTTAAAAAGTGAGTTTTTTAATTTAAAAAACTGAAAACATAAAAGTGAAATAATTCTAACCTCTACTCTATGCACGTTTTTATTATATTATTATAATTAAAAAAATGAAATTAAATTCTTTTCTAAATTCTAATTTTGCAATGGAATTTTTGTTTGAATTTCAAACATTTAATTCTTTTCTAAATTGATTTCCAATTTTTAATTGAATTTCATTTTTAAAATTAAATTTCAATTTTTTTTTCTTTTGGAATTTGTTTTCTATTTTAAATTTTGCTTTTTAATAGAATTTTTCTTTTAAATTCTAGTTTTAATTTCCAAATTTATTTTTTTTCTAAATTGAATTCTAATTTTGCCATTGATTTTTTTAATTAAAAAAAACGTGCTTAGAGTTGAGGTTAGAATTCATTCAAGTTTCTGTTTTTCCTATATATAAAACAATTTAATGTTGCTATTGTAGACTATCCACGGATTGATACAATGGATGAAGAATGCATCAAGCCTCAGTCTTCTCATCCGAATGATTCTCGAAATAGTGAACATCCAAAAGGTATTTTCTAAATTAAATTAAATGAAATTGTAATTTTTAAATTAAATTTCTTTTTTAAAAATTTAATTCATTTCTAAATTCAATTTTTTTCTATATTGATTTTTACTTTTTAATTCAATTGCTTTCTTAAAATAGAATTTCATTTTTTTCGACTTTGTTATTTTCATTTAAAATTTTACTTCTTTACAGAATTTTTTCTTTTAAATTAGTTTTAATTACCAAATTAAATATTTCTAAATCTAATTCTAATTTTCCAATTGAATTTATTTTAAATTAAAAAAAATCAATTTGTTTGAAAATTAAATTTTAATTTTCTAATAAAATTTCTTTCTTAAACATTAAAGAAACTAAATTTAATTCTAATTTTGTAATGGAATTTTTGTTTTCATTTTAAATATTTAATCCTTTTATAAATTGATTTCTAATGTCTAATTAAATTTCTTGTTTAAAATATTGCATTTCAATTTTTTATTATTTTGGGAATTTGTATATTTTTTAATTTAAATTTTACTTTTTAACATAATTTTCCTTTTGAATTTTAGTTTTAATTTCCAAATTTAATTTTTTTCTTAATTGAATTCTAATTTTGCCATTGAATGTTTTCTAAATTGAAAAACACTAAATTCGTTTAAAAAATAAATGTTAATTTTTCAATAGAATTTCTTTTTTAAGCATTAAAAAAATTAAATTCTTTTCTAAATTCTAATTTTGCAATGGAATTTTTGTTTGAATGTCAAACATTTAATTCTTTTCTAAATTGATTTCCAATTTTTAATTGAATTTCATTTTTATAATTAAATTTCAATTTTTTTTTCTTTTGGAATTTGTTTTCTATTTTAAATTTTGGTTTTTAATAGAATTTTTCTTTTAAATTCCAGTTTTAATTTCCAAATTTATTTTTTTTTCTAAATTGAATTCTAATTTTGCCATTGATTTTTTTTAATTAAAAAAAAGGGTTAGAGTTGAGGTTAGAATTCATTCAAGTTTCTGTTTTCCCTATATATAAAACAATTTAATGTTGCTATTGTAGACTATCCACGGATTGATACAATGGATGAAGAATGCATCAAGCCTCAGTCTTCTCATCCGAATGATTCTCGAAATAGTGAACATCCAAAAGGTATTTTCTAAATTAAATTAAATGAAATTGTAATTTTTAAATTAAATTTCTTTTTTAAAAATTTAATTCATTTCTAAATTCAATTTTTTTTTATATTGATCCTTACTTTTTAATTATTACCTCCGAAAGGTATAGAAACTGATTTTATTTTGCAATGAGAAAAACAAAAGTTATTTAAAAAATACTGAAACCGAGGAGGCAATCCCTCCCTAGGTGTGTGACGGAGGGTTAAAATAGAATTTCATTTTTTAAACTTTGTTTTTTTCATTTAAAATTTTACTTTTTTACAGAATTTTTCTATTAAATTAGTTTCAATTACCAAATTAAATTTTTTTTAAATCAAATTCTAATTTTCCAATTGAATTTATTTTAAATTTAAAAAAATCAATTCGTTTGAAAATTAAATTTTAATTTTCTAATAAAATTTCTTTCTTAAACATTAAAGAAACTAAATTCAATTCTAATTTTGTAATGGAATTTTTGTTTTCATTTTAAATATTTAATCCTTTTATAAATTGATTTCTAATGTCTAATTAAATTTCTTGTTTAAAATATTGCATTTCAATTTTTTATTATTTTGGGAATTTGTATATTTTTTAATTTAAATTTTACTTTTTAACATAATTTTCCTTTTGAATTTTAGTTTTACTTTCCAAATTTAATTTTTTTCTTAATTGAATTTCTATTTTTTTCCTGCCTTGCGTTAATTTAAATTGCAGGGGAAATATCGCACATTTATAGGAAAATAAACTTTTAATTACCATATTCTTAACCCGTTGCCTGTTACTTAACGACCCAACATTGAGTCGTGAAAAAAGATGGCCCAGACTGTTAACAACTCAACGTTGGGTCGTGAATGTTTTAGCAAAAAATAGAAATTTGTTATTTAAATTATAAAATAAATTCTTTTATATTATTATTCACATCTATAGGTATCAATGATACTAGAAAAAGTAATAAACAAATAATTGTTTATTATTTTTGAGTAATATAACAATTTAAAAGATTTTAATCGACATTTTTTGGGTCACTAAAATAAATATTTTTCCAAACAGCGAAGGGGTTAAAAATAAAAAAAATTCTTTTTTTAATTTTTTAAAAAAAAGGTACTTAAAAATTTTTCATGATTTTTTCATCATGTTCCCTATAATCCAGACCTGTGGCAACCCTCAATTTTAAATTTTACAAAATTTTTTTTAATTTAATTATTTTATAAACTAATAATAAATAATATTAATCAAAAACAATGTTTATAAATTAATAAATTTAATTATTCAATAAATTTGTTATTTCTTTATGTAAATAATTGAATTTTTTGTAGAATTTTCCAATAAAAACTGATTTATAAATGAATTTCAGATAAAACTTTTGATAATAATGGAATTATAAAAGCATTGTACCATTAATTTTTAGAAATAATTGAATTTTAAAAAGGTGTCAAATGAAAATCGCTAAAAATGTAATTTTTAAATTTTTAACTATCAATTTTGCAAAATTAATTTTTTTGAGAAATTTTAATTGAAGCATTAGGTGTAACAAGAACGTTAAGCGTTTAACGCTCGTTTTGATATCATTAAGTGAGAATAATTTTGTAGTTGGGGTGCAAAAAAGGCGTAAAAATTGGTTCTGAAGAACATTATTTAATAGGTAATTGCAACTTTCCTTCAATATTACACTTGGGTTTGATAATTTAGCAGGGTGTCTAACAAGGATTGAGAAAAAAATTCCCTGACTTTTCCATGACTTTTCCCTGACTTTTTCCCTGACCTTTTACTAATTTTATTTTTGCTTTCTTGAGACAAAAATATGATAACTGACATATTTAACAATAAATTAATATCTAATGATAGAAAAAAACGGTAATAAAAATCTTCTAATTTTTGTTAGATTAAAAAAATTTTTTATTCACAAAAAATTTTAATTTTTGTATACATTTTTAGAAATTTTCCTGACTTTTCTCTGACTTCCCTGACCGTTAGACACCCTGTTTAGTAGTGGACTAAGTAAAGAAAAAAACAGTAATTTAATTTGCATGTATAGTTTTTTAACTATTAAAGTTTGAAAGCTTCAACTTCAAAAACTTTTGTTCGCCGTTTTTTGTTATAGGTAATTGCTCTTATTGCATTAAATGCTTCAATTGGATTTTTTAAAAAATTATTTGAAGTTTTTGTTTCTAATATATTGAATATTGGTAAATTTACTAATAATCAAAATTTTGTAAAATTGAGTTGTAAATAAAATGATTTGAAAATTTATAAAGTAATTAAAATTAGGAAGGGTCATAATTTAAATTTTTAGAAATTATTAAAATTCATAAATTTTACTAATTTTCCCAAAATTTCCATTATTTTTTGTTCAAAGAATTTTGTCAAGGAAAATAATTTGAATGTCAGTAAATTGTCAGGAAAATTGATAAATTGAAATTTATGACTATAAAAGATTTTATAAAAGTTCTCCAAATTTATTGTAAACCGCAAAAATGTGAATAAAGTAATTTATGTGTTACTTTCTATTTATAATTGTATTGTTTGCATTCTTATTTTGTTCCGACCACTTTCTACGACAATAATTATTGGAACTGAAATTTTTTTCCAGTTACTCATTCTCAGATCAGTAAACGTCGAAAATCAACATTTTGCGGTTACTCGGAGAGGCAATTTAAACGTATTATTGATAATAAAAGCAAAAGTGATTACCAATTCCTGCGAAACTTGCAGGAAGAAATTAATCATTCAAATAGGCCGCCAACTATTCCTACAAACCCCATTTCATCAAGTGTTGGAGATGTAGGTAATAAGAAAACACCATCTGCATCACTGATTGATAATACATTACATAAATGTATAACGGATGCTTACAGTTCCTGTGAATCTGACGAGGATGCGCAATTTTCTTTCATAACATCTAACAAAATAAATTCTAAAAATAAGAATGTAACCGGTGTTTTTAATATTAACGACTCAGATGAAATTGAGCAACCTTCTTTTTACTTCGACAAAAATAGTTTTCAAGACAATAAGCAATTTTTTAATTTTTATGACAGCTCTGACTCATCTTCAGTAGATTTAACTGATTTTGAAAATCAGAATGATTTATCAAACGACGAAGTTTCAAACGAGAATATTTTTGACAATATATCAACTGCATCGGAAAATGCAGAAATCGACGATGGAAATAAAGAAAAACCGAGTTTAATAAGTATGTTACGCGATTGGGCACTGATGTACAAAATCACGTTAGTAGCTCTGACTGCATTATTGTTGATCTTAAGAAACTATACTCAACATTCATACTTACCAATGGACGCCAGAACTTTATTAAAAACTGAAAGAAATACGGAAACATCTCAATTTGGTGGTGGTGAATATCTTCACTTTGGATTGGAAAGAGCCGTGCGATCGATTCTTAGAGAGTATAAAAGAAAAGGAATAACTTTGAATCATGTTAGATTAGGTATAAATGTTGACGGTTTGCCCATTTTTAAATCTACTAATGAAGGACTGTGGCTTATTTTATGTTCTGAATTGAATTCTAAACAAGTTTATCCTGTTGGAGCGTTTTTTGGTAGGGGAAAACCAAATGATGCAAATGAATTCCTAAAGCAATTCATAGATGAGGCTACGAAGGTGATAAATGATGGTTTGAAAGAGGAAAATGTTCGTGTATCGATTGAATATTTAAGCTGTGATACTCCAGCGAAAGCTTTTATTTTATATTTAAAGGGCCACACCGGATATGACAGTTGTACAAAGTGCAATATAGAAGGGGTCTATGTTCTACATGAGCGTAAACGACAGGAAAATAAAAAGGGGAAAGGGAAAAAGTCTGGTAACACCTGTTTTCCAGGAATTGGTCCTTTTAAATTAAAGACTGATGATAACGAAATAGATTCAGATGTTCATCCAATATTCGCTGACCTTCCTGGATTCGGGTTTATATCTTCTGTCCCCTTGGACTATATGCATCTGATTCTTCTCGGTGTCATGAAACGTTTAATAACTCTCTGGATAAAAGGGCCTACAACAGTGAAGATATCAACAAATCAAGTAAACAGTATTTCAAAAAAGTTATTGACATTACGTCACAGCTGTCCAGTGGAGTTTGCAAGGCGTCCAAGGGGACTTTTTGACTGCGTACATTGGAAGGCCACTGAATTTAGGACCTTTCTCCTTTACACGGGTCCAATTGTTCTAAAAAATATCCTGAAATCTGATGTATATGCACATTTTATATTGTTTCACAGTGCAGTTACAATATTGGTTAACGATAATCATATTCGTGATGCTAACAATATTGATTATGCGCATGATCTCTTGACCCAATTCGTTAAAGAATTTCCAAGTATTTATGGCAAGAGATATGTAAGTCAAATGTTCACAACTTATTACACATTTGTAAAGATGTAAAACGGTTCGGTTCGTTGGATAAATTCAGTGCGTTTAAGTATGAAAATTTTATGATGTCAATTAAAAACATGATCCGAAAAGGAGAAAAACCACTGCAACAACTATCAAGAAGATTTGGTGAAAAGGAAAAGGCCGACGAGGAAAGAGTAACAACCGATTTATCGTCTAATATATCAAGAATAAAACTTGAACAACAGCATCGCGATGGACCACTCACCAGGGAAACATCTTCTAATGTTGAACAATTTAAAATATTAAAAAACGAAGCTTTTACATTTAACTGCAATGATTCAAAAGATGCTTGCGTTTTATTGGAGGATGGACATTTTTTAATAATAGAAAATATTATAAGGTTTAAAAATGGAAACATTTGTGTCATTGGAATTAAGTATTTCGCAATTGATAAATTATACGACAATCCAGATTCGAGTCTCTTCAATATAAATATCGCCAATAGTACCAGCTCAGAAAAACAATTAATAAAAATTGAAGATGTTCACACAAAAGTGTGGAAAGTACCATGTGCGAGGGGAATAATGACCATTCCTTTGGCACATAAACCTTGAGAGAAAAGTGCAGAAAATCGAGGTTTTT